AAATTTATTTATTCTTTTTATGTGTGTACCGTCAAATTGGATCTGACTGGTACAGGAGGCGATTGTTCCTCCTTCTTCAGCAGAGAATCTGGTGGCTTTGAACCGCGAACCTCTGGGATTGCAGTACAGTTTCCTACCACTAGGCCACCAGAGCTCGCCCCCTATTTGCTATCTTTGGAAATAAGTTAACCCCCAAAAGCGCCTCTCCGCACTCCCCCGTAAGGACCCTTGCACGAAGGGAGATGTAGCTTCTCCTGGTTAAGACTCCCTCCCAACCCCACCGCTTACTCTTGGTCACCCCTCCTTCCCTGCTCCCCCTTCCAAGTGTACACGTAGTAGATCCCATCACTGCCGGAAGCCTCGCGTTACTCAAACAAATCGCGCGATAGCTCGGGGAAAGGGGCGGGGAGAACGGAGGCGAGGAAGGGGATTCGCAGATTCTCCGACCAAGCCGAGGATCGGGCTTACGCTTGCGCATGCGCCTTCCACAGCCGCTGGCGAACGAGACCTGTGACTCCTGGCCTGTTTGTTTCGTGCGCTTTCTTTTCTCTTTGCGGCCAGCTGGACTAGAGCAGGGTCAGCACAACCTTTGTGTGGCCTGACTGGGAGCGGACATCGTGCGCTTATAAGAGAGTGGGTCTGGAAGAGCTGGGGAAGGGGAGCGTTGGAGGGGTGTGAGGTTGGGGCAATGTAATGAATGAATAGGAGCGGGAGGGGAGTTAGAGCGATTGGGAGCCGAGGTGAAGTGGAAGGGGGGACCGAAGTGTTCGCCTTGCCTAGGTGCACCCCTGGAATAGGAAAGGATGCGAAGGTGATTTATTACTGATCCCACTCCTTTCCCTTGGCAGGGCGCTCAGCATGGCAGAAAACCGAGAACCCCGAGGAGGTGTAGAGGCGGACCTGGACCCCGTGGAGTACACTCTTCGGAAGCGGCTTCCCAACCGCCTGCCCCGAAGGCCCAATGACATCTATGTCAACATGAAGACTGATTTCAAAGCCCAGCTTGCCCGCTGCCAGAAGCTGCTGGATGGAGGGGCGCGGGGTCAGAACGCCTGCACTGAGATTTACATTCATGGCTTGGGCCTGGCCATCAACCGCGCCATAAACATTGTGCTGCAGCTGCAGGCGGGCAGCTTCGGGTCCTTGCAGGTGGCCGCCAATACCTCCACTGTGGAACTGGTGGATGAACTGGAACGAAAGACCAACACACGCGAGCCGCTGATTCACATCCGCAACAACTCGGCTATCCACATCCGTGTGTTCAGGGTCACCCCCAAGTAACAAAAGGAAACTAGACCTCGTGTGCTGGACCTCTTCCTTTGCGAGTCACAAATGTGGCTCTCTTAGTACTGTCATGGTCCTCCAGAAAAGGCCTGTCCTCTCTCAGCCCGAAAGAATCTGAATTGGAGAGGGATGGTGTGATTACTTCCTGGGCTCCAGGAAGGGTTTTCTTTTTAGTCTGTGTGATCTATACAATAAAAAGTCCCAAGTTGTTTTACAATCCTGCCATCCACTGTCCTTGTTCCTGTATATCCTTAGAGTACCCAGAAAGGATGTATACAAAACTTTCCGGGTTGAACCACAAAAAGAGGAACACAAATGATCCCTGCCTTCATAGAGAGCGTAGATTGAACTAATAATAGCCGAGTTTCCAGCAGATTTTCAGGGGCTGTAAATTGCACTGGAGGAGATTGCCCATATCTCTCTCAGAGCAGCTGGTGAATCTGAACTACCTGCCTTTGGGTTGGCAGCACAATTCCTGATCAGCTAGGTCACCGGAGCTTCCTTGATTGGGTGAGGACTGGTGTGACATAAAACCAATAAGTACAGTGCAGAACTTGTAGTCCTGATGTTTACCTTAAGGTTTTCAGGAAGGCCAGAAAGATATGTGTACATTGACCCACTGAAATTCAGCTGAAATAGTTGTATGCTCAGGAAGCAGCCGGCTAGATTCTCCGCTGGAGAAGGAGGGACAATCTGGGCCAGTAAAAATAAAATAAAGCAGCTTACTGCTCGTTCCTGGAGATGTAAGAGTTCCCCCAAAAATGAGGTTTTAAGGAAGAAATAGACAAAGCTAACACTGTCGGAGCCTTCTTTGTGCCAGCCCTGGTAGCGATGGAAAGTGTTTTCACTTAGTTGTAGGAATTAACTGCAGAGCCCAATATTCTGGGCAGCTGTGGTCTGGAGCTTGCTTGGCAGACCCTTCTGGCTGGGCCACTGCCCAAGAAAGAGACTCCTCCCCTTTGATAATTACTGGACACAGGTAATAAATACTTTCTTGTTTGGCTGCTTGTGGGATCATTTGATTTTCCATGTTTCTCAAACGAGTTGTCTAAAGCAATGTTTATCAAAGTAGGTAGTTATCTGTTTGCCAGCCTGGAAATCAATTTACTGGGTCATGGCCTTTTTTAAAAAAGGAGAAGCGCAGTTTAAATGGCAGTGTTTTGTGGAGGCCTTTAAAACTGTGTTTACCCACTGCTGCCAGGTTGATGATTCTGATTCATGGCAAACCTCCAGTGAGGTTCCGGGGCTGGAACTCCAGATGAAACTGTTGATCTTTCTTCCCAAGTGGCTGGTGCATTTGAACTACTGATTTGGTCAGCAGCACAATATAACCAGTTACACCCAGGCTTCTTAAGCTGTTTCTATGTATTCATAGGGAACTGGTGGCTTAGTGATAAGGAGTTGTGCTGCCACTCAAAGGAAGGCGATTCTAATCCACCAGCTGCTCCCATGCAGTTTATAACCTCTGAAAACCTGCTGGAGGGTCACATATGAAACAGCTCCAACTTGACAGCACTTAACAAAAGTAATACATTTACTGGCATGTATGTGTACTAGTCATGATGTGAATGGTTTTTACTGTTGAGATCACGTTTACAGTTTGAAAACCTGTGATCTAAAGGTAATAGTGGTTTACTCTAGAGCTCTTGGGAGGTGGATTGGCTTTTCGGTCTGAGAATGGGGCTCCTAAGTTTTCACAAAGAGAGCTCAAAGGTGTAGCGTGTAGCTTGTATTGCTAACCAAAAAAGAGGTTCAAGTTCCCCTGACACTCCCCAGAAGAAAGATGGGCAGTCTCTTCCCATTAAGATCTACAGCCTACGAGTTGGAATTGACTTGATGGCAGTGAGGGAGTGAGGCTTTCTTTCACATGTGCTCCTCTGACTTGTGTATTCCAGTTGATGAGGGACTTTGATGTCAGGTCAATGACTTGCCAGCCACCCGGGAAAGCAAACTCTCAGACCAGTGCTTCGTTTATACAGCTGTCTCCATGGTGAGTGCCAGCTGTGAACAAGGCTGGGCCCTGTGATACACAGATGAGCATGAAGTGACCACTGTCTTTAAAGAGCTCACTATCTACTTGGGAAGATGGACATTCATTTGTGAATGAGTGGAACGTGTCCTAAGATAACACGAGTAGCCGTGACGGGGAGATGTGAACAGCTAACTTTGTGGTGGGGTCTGGAGTTGACTGTTGACTTGAGTATTGAGGGAAGAGGGAACTCTGGTGGCATAGACTGTAGAGATTTGCTCCGTTAACCCAAAAGCTGCTTCTCAGGTCACTCGAATCCACGAGTGACTTCATGGGATAAAGATGGGCAGTCTTGTGATTTACAGCCTCAGAAACCCAATGGAGCTTTCCTTCTCAATCTCCTTTCAGGGAGGGAGATGAGGTCCTTCCCTTTGGGGATGTAACCTTGTAGTAAATCTATCATTACTATTTTACCCTCAAAAAGAGAGAGAGAAAGGAAAGAAAGAAAGAAAAAGAAGAAAGAGAAGGAAGGAAGGAAGGAAAGGAAGGAAGAAAAGAAGAAAGAAAAGAGGGAGGGAGGGAAAGGAAAAGGAAACCCAATGGAGGGTCAGCCACGAATGGATTCTGGCCTAATGGTGATGGGAGAGAGAGATTGAAGGAGGAAAAGGAATTTGCCACGCAGAGAAGGGAGAGGGCATGCCTGGCATATGGACCAGCATGTATGAAGGTGAGGATTCAAGAATAAAGAGAATGTTTTCAGGACGGGAGGAGCAAGCAAGGTTATTAGATAGCAGGAGATGCTGGCTGGGATGACTTGAGGGAGACAAGGCTGGTGACTTCTACGAGTCTGCCCCTCCATCCCTGAATCAGCTCTGACTATAGGGTTCCCTTGCCCCAAGGCCCGGTAGTGCAGTGAGATTCCACAGGGAGCTGCATGGACAGTGTGTCTCTCCGCACGTATGTGTTCATGTCTGTCTGTGCTGCTGGCTCTAGCTCAGCTATGGTGAGGCTCTTTTGCGTTTGGTTTATTTTGGCAGCTCCCTCTCCGAGCCTATTTTTTGTTTCTACACTTTTCACTCACTGCTTGCCAGTGGGGCTGCCCTCAGGGGCAGGTCTGCAGAAATAGCCCTGAATGTTGCCACTGGCAGAGGCTCTAAGCTTCATCCTTTACTGTGTGAGGGCCGGTAGAGGATGTGAGAGAGGCCGCTCCTCTGAAGCCCATGTGTTGTGGGAAGGCAGGGCACTCTGCTTCTGGGGCCTCTGCACCCCTTTCCTTCTCCTAATTCTCCGAACTAGTTCCATCAGAAGGGATGAGGATGGAGGTAAAGAGTTATGTCCAAATGGAATTAACTTCCCTCCCATCTTTTTACTCCACAATTGCAGACCCCATGATGAGTGGGAAATAACCTCCTGATTTAGAAAAGAGACTAGAGATCAAATCCAAACGCCTAGTTTGGAAGATATTATAGACTTTTGTTGACCATCCATAAGCATTTATTGAGGTCACACTGTTATTTTTGTTATGTGTTGTCAAGTCACCTGCGACTCATAGCTACCCTGTGTACCACAGCTCTGAACCCTGTTCTATCCTGATGCAACCTCCTTGTCTCTTAAACACCCACACTCATTACTGCAGTCACAGAGTCCATTAATCTCATCGAGGGTCTTCCTCTCTTGCATTGTCCCTCCACCTGTCCAAGCAGGATGTCCCTCTGGATAACATGACTGGACCCTCTTACAACATGCCCAAAGTATGTCAGACGAATCCTCAGAATCTTTGCCTCCACGGAGCAGCCTGGTTTGACCCTCTCTCGGACGAACCTGTTTGTTCTCCCAGCAGTCCGTGGTACATTCAATACTTTTCTCCAGCACCATAGCTCAAAGGCATCAATTCTTATTCTGTCATCCTTTGTCATCGTCCAGCTCTCTGACGCAGATGACATTTCTCCATTTGTGTTAGTACATGTTGCAAATCTACCCAATTACTTGCTATGTATCAGGGAGCTGAATAATGACCAGGAATGACAAAAGAATTGATGCCTTTGAGTTGTGGTTTTGGAGAAGAGGGACATAAAATGGACTGCCAAGAGAATTAACAAGTCTGTACTGGGGAGGATGAGATGAAGTTGCTCCTTAGAAACAATAATTTTGAGGCTTCTCACATGCTTTGGGGTCTTGTAGCCAGGAGGGACAAGTCTTTGGAGAAGGCTGTCATGCTTGGGAGGGTCGAGGGACAGCACAGGAGAGGAAGATCCTGGATGAGATGGATTGACACAGTAACAGGAATAATGGGGGGTCAGTGTGTCAGAGACAGTGAGATTGGCTCAGGATAGGGCAGGATTCAGAGCTGTTGTGCATAGGGTGGCTAGGCATCATAGTCTTCTCAATGGCTCATAACAACAACAACAACAATATAGCAGAAACAATCTAAGTAAACAAAAGTGAAGCTAAGAAAAGTTCTAGATCATAACCAAAAAATCCTCAGAGAATGAATTGCTGATCCTGGGACTTTGAGATCATTCATCCTCTTGGGGGCATAAAAATCAATTGGCCTCTGGTGGCCTAGTGGCAAGAAGCTGCACTGCAATCCCAGGGATGCACAGTTCAAATCGACCAGATGCTCTGCTGGAGAAGGAGGAACAATCTCCTCCTGTACCAGTCAGATCTGATTTGACGGTATACACACACACACACAAAATAAAAATAAAATAAAAAAAAATCAATTGGCATAACATAATCCACAAAGATGGTGCATCCCACCCTACTTAGAGAGCTTTTTATGGCCCTGTCCATAGGGAATCGTGCTGCTAAGCCAAAGACAGCACCTCTCTGGCGGTTTGAATCCATCACTCACTTCTTGGGAGAAAGATGAGCAATCCTCTCTTGCGTGATTTGTAACCTTGGAAACCCACTAGAGGGTCTGCCCAGTGAGCTGTGTTGATGAGTAGTAACTGCTTCTGGGTTGGAGGCAAGGATGGTGACACATTGTTTCATGTCTTTTGAGTATCTTGTAAGGAGAAGCCAGTCC